GTGTACAGCAATGTCTGCAAAACCATGGGGGTTAGCTGTTGTACAAGAAAAAGAGATCCAATGCTTTTGATTAGGGGGCAAGTTGAGAATCACTGCCAGTCTGGGCTGCAGCCTGTTTAGGGGAAGAAAGATGTTACCTGTTTATAATTCTGTAAGAAAACAAATAAACTTGACTCTTGACTTTACTTGTCATTTCTGTATTTCCAGTAACAAAGAAGACACGAAGAGTAAAACTAAGAGAAGTGATCACAGTTAATGAAGAGCACTTTCTGCACTCCTGATTTAAGAAGGAGGAATTTGCTGAGCCTAATAGACAAAGAGTAATAATCAACTGAACCTACTCTAAGAAGTGTCAGGATCTTTGAACCACAGAAAGGATCGATGGACTTCGCAAAAATGATGTGAAACATTCCACGCTCTGCTATCATCTGCTGTTGCTTGCTGAACTGTGAAGAACTGTGTGTTCAGGCTGCTTTCTACTATATTGCCAATCACCTTTTTTGGACTTGAAAGTGATATTTTCTTTTCAGCTCTAGTGGTTTCATTTGCATGGATTCTGTAACTATTCACAAACAAAATTTGTTCTCTGCTTTACCTATTTAAAAATAAGCACAGTAGTGAATAAAATTAATTTCATTTGTTTTGACCCTTCAGTTCTAATCATTGAGGTCCACATCAGTGGAAATGGGAATTGATGTCATACAAGGGTTGGGGCAAACCTCTGCACATACTATATGAAAATGAGTCTATCAAGGTATTTTTACTGGTTGGTGAAAAAGAGAAAAAAATGTTATTTATAACAAGGCCTTATGTTGTGTACATATATTGTCTTTAAAATATTTTTGATTTTAGTTTATTTCTTGTAAAAGAGAAATGATATTTATTTAGTAAATACTACTGTAAACTATAGTTTTATTGATGAATAAAATATTTTGTTCTGAAGACTATCACAGCTGTCAACCTGCTCTTGATTTGCACACGAGTTACTGTTCTGGTATTTCTCTACATTCCTAAGATGGTCTTGAGAGGCATCTCAAGAGATAAAACAACCACTCTACAACATGGCATCTATCTTTATCTTCTACCAATTCTAAAATGAAGAGGAGAATCTTGAAATTAGAGAAGAAAAGGCAAAGGAACATACTCAACAAGCACTGCTTCATAAAAGCATTTCAAGTTTTTCATTATGGGCAATCATTTTAAGGTAACTATAGAAATTCTTCTGGTTTCCTCAATTTCTCTAGTGGCAGAGAGATAATCCCAAACATCAGCAACCATCAATCCAAGATTTCATGCTTTGATGTGGTGGTGTATTTAAAAACTACACCGGTGTTACTTTGAAAATTTATGAAAGCTATTGATAATTACATTTCTTCAAAGAGTAAGTGCAGCAAACCTGTTGGAATGGCAAAATAATTTGGCACTTTTAATTCCTTCCTAGAACTATGCTTTCTACCTCTGAAGAATTTTTCATTAAGTTTTTGGTGTGGCTTTTTTTTTTTTCCTTAACTTTGATGTAATCCTATAACCCTGAAAATTAAGGAGAGTATTATTCATTAATTATGTACCAAATAGAGAAACAGGTATTTTTTTTCTCTAGGTATATAGCACCTCTGGTTGAATTTAGAGCCTGTGTCTCATGATTACCTCTTTTCCAGGCTTTAAAATTAGATTGCTTAATCTCAGCAAGATAATTCTCCTTCAGCATTCTTCTTAGAAATGCAAGAGACCAATCTACATTCCCTGTGAGCAAAAACATTTTGTACATCTATGTGAAGTGTCTGCTCCATGCACAGTGTATAGCATATTTAGAATGTGTTTCTATGCAAACTAGGTATTTCTGATTTGTGTTATTTGGGGAAAAACATGAAATTCCATAGTTTAAGCAGCTGCTTAACCTTCATAAAGCACATGCATGTCACTTCTTTCCCCAGTTACACAGCAGACTGTCCTGTCTGAATCATTTGTCCTTAGGAAGACCCCTGAGGACACACAGCTTAACTGCAGCAACTCTGTACAAAACCAGAACGTCTATACTAAACAATTCAGAGACTGAGCCATCCTTTGTGTACAATCCCTTTAACAGAGTCATTTATAAATGAAAACAATCATGTCACACTTGCAAAAGGAAATCCTGTATGCAGTATGGAGCCTACTGGGAAAAACTTCTCCAAAGCACGTGCACTTTGAAGTCTTTGTGTGTGTGCGTGTGTGTCTGTGGCTACATGGCCACTGAGAGGGAAGAGGGATTACAGCTAAACAGTGTTAATGATCAACAATTTGGAACCCATTTTTTCTTTCTCTAACACATGAAATGGTATAAAGCCTCAAACATCAAAGAGTACATGAGTCCATAACGATGCGTATGTTTAATGCTTAAGTATTTAATTTCTTTTCATCTTGAATTGGTATTTCGCACTGGTAGCACTTTGGTGGAATTTTAAAGACTTTTAAACATATCTATAAAGCTGTTGAGACAGTGCATGTCAAGTAAAAATAAAATCTATACACAGGGCATAATCAACTCCTTGAGGTATTAAAGTAATGTATTGGTCTATTTCTGCAAGTCTAAACAGATGGAACTCACCACAGGGAGCAAAATTTGAAGAATTAGGTCACAGACATGGGCTATCTGTGTGCAGTGGTATCTGAATACACTGGCCCTGCAAGATGCCCAGAAGGAAAAAGCACAGGTTGATGCCTGCTTAGAGAAAGGTAGGGAATAACTCCAAATTTCTGTATCTGTCCCTGTGACTTAATCATATGGCATTCAGGGGGTGAATTTTGCCTTTGGTTTTGCCTGTAATAGTTGTCCACAGTTTAAAAAACAAAGCAAAACACAAACAAACAAACAGGACAACCAAAACCAAACTTCATGTCCTTGTACTAGTATTCAGTGGTTTGAAAATACTAACACCTGTCCCAAGACCTGTTTTCTTGCTGACACTTTGCTTATACTTCATGCAGTTTAGTATTATACAACTCAGTGCTATTTCCCCAAACCCGTAATACCTAGACAGTGCTAAAAGGGCAAGCAGTAGTGCACTCCACCTATTCCTCATAGAAGCCATTTGCTGACCCATCAAGAAGTCTCAGTTGAAATTTACACAACCAACTTCAGTTGTGTGGGCCATTGCCCTTCGTGTGCTAGAAAATAATTTCAGTTTAAAGAAAAAAAAATATAAATCTTGGTGAGAAACTTGACAACTTATTCCCTAAAGTATTGCAAGATGCCAGCTGCTTACGTGAGAGTTTTAGAAATATACAAATGCATCACACAGTAACCAGTAGTAAGTTTATACTTCTACGCTTTTCGTATTTATGATTTTACTTGCAACTGTTGCATCTTTCAGTCCTGTCCTAGCGAAGGATCTGAAATCAAATTTGTCTGTGTTCCCACAGAAAACTTTTTTTAAGAAACTTTTTCATCAGAATTACTTCTTACCTCTAATCCCCCTAGTAGGCATATTTTAATTTTTCAGTTTAAGTAACAATAAGAGATGTGTAGATGAGACTCAGTATCTTCACAAATCATGAGTAGTACAGTATCTCTAGCATTTAAATAAGCCAGTAGGAACTTGGCCGGTCACCTACATAAGTCCCCTTCTCCACTGCTTTTTGAAGCACACCATCAGAAGTTCTAGCACACGTATGTCAGGTGTGATAAATTGTGTGCTTTATGTTCCCTCTACTGGCTTAGGGAAACATTTTACCTACAGGACGTAATACATCAGAATACGTGCTGTCACAGAAAATACTGTCCTAGAATGGGCCCCTGAGCTGCTCCTGTATTCTGCAGTTATGTACCTTTTCCATGGACTTGAGTATTCATGCAGCCAAAAGAGCCCCTGGACAAATCTGTGACTGTCATCTCAAGCAGTCCGTATTACCTGCTCACGTCAATGCAGTTACCTGGAATTAATTAACCACAGTTAACGGGAACTGGAAGCTCAACAGTTTTTTTGAGTGATCTGCCGCTACTCCAGTTTTGGGGCGTGAATGCACTGCACAGCTGGCCTGTTACAAAGTTTGAACCCAAGATACTAGCCTTGGTCCTTGTCCCATTGCTCCCTCTCTGTACTGGCACTGTGTCCCACGGTTCTTGTCTGGAATTGTCAGGAAAGGGGGAATTCTTCTCTATTACTGCTTAGGTCTGGAAAAGCTGTAGATACCACACTTTGAAAATTTGCCGAAGAGGACAGGAACTGTGTTACAGCCCAACTACAGGAAGTGGATTCCTACCGTGCAGCTTAGGAAACGGCTGTGATTACATCACACGAAGCGTTTTGCTTTGTAGCGCCGGCTGCTGAAATTAGGCAGCTGTCAGCACCTGTGGTGTGCAGGGACTGCCTGTAATAGCAACTTTCTTTGGCCTTTTTTTTTTTTTTTTTTTTTTTTTTTTTTTTTTATTAGCGCTGAAGCAGGGTGAGTAGTGCCGTTTGTAATTTCTGTCCTTTCCAGACCCCAGCTCCTTGTAAACCTACTCGGCAAGATCCTCTGGCCGGAACAGTCACTCGCAGAGATTCGCCCACGAGCAGGCCCCCCTCTCCGGGCGCGGCAGGAGCCCTCACGGTACCGACGTTCGGTCGCAGCTGCCCGTCTCCACGGTAGCAGCCGGATGCTGCGAGACCCCCGAGCTCTCGACGCAGGCGGAGGCGCCTGAGCAGCGCGCCGGGACCCTCCGTCCGAGGCAGAGCCTGGCCGCAGGACGCCGGTGCGCGGCTGCTGCGCGCCCTGCCTCCCCGCGGCGCCGGGCCCCCGGACAGGCCCGCCGGGCCGGGCCGGGCCTGGCCCCCGGCCGCCGGCGGAGGGCGGTAGCGGCCGCCGCCGCCGCCTCTGGGTCGCCACCGCCGCGGCGGCGGGCTGGGCGGCTCCTCCCCGCCCGCTGCTGTAGCGAGCGGCGGCGGCATGTGGAGGCCGGGGGCTGGCGGCGCGGTGCGCGCCGCGCGGCGGGGGGCGGCGGCGGCGGCGGAGCGGCGGCGGAGCGGCGGCCCCGCGGGCGCCCCGCGGGCGGGAACGGCCGCCGGCGGCCGCGGCCGGACGGTGAGCGTGAGGCGGGCGGGGGAGCGGCGAGGCGCGGCCCGCGCCGCCGGGAAGGAGGAGGCGAGCCGGCCGCGCTGCCGCTGCCCGGGGCGGCCTCGGGCCGGGCTGCTGCTGCGGGCGGGCCCTGGGCGGCGGCGAGGGAAGGGGCGGCCGGCGGAGTTTCCTTAGCGCGGTCGCCGGCCCGTAGCCCGGGCCAGCCGGGGCGCCGGCGGCGCGGCGCGGCCTGCCTCTCCGGCCGGGGTAGGCCGCTCCGCTCCGCTCCTCCGCCGCGCCGCCCACCCCCGTGCGAGCGGCGCTGCGGCCGGGCCGAGCGCGGAGCCAGGGCGGAGCGGCGGCCCGGCAGCGCGCCTCGGCCTCCCGCCTGCGGGACGCGCAGGAGCGCGTGTGTTGGGGGCCGCCGGCCTCGGTGGCTCCGGGCCCTTGGAACCAGCGCCGGGCTGCGGGTGGGGATGGCAGGAGCGGCGGCTGCCCGGCGGGGAGCCCTGCCTTCGCCGTGCTCCGAAACGGTTTACGTGCTCGACGCCCTCTCCCGACTGCGGAAGATGCGCGCTGGCCACCCTCGCACGGGGTCTGGTGCAGGGAGGGGTGGTGCCAACTGTATTATAGCGCTGAGTCGGCCGCCTCAGGTCGTCAGCTGAGTACGAGCACACTAACGGAGTCGGAGCCTCTCAGTGCAGCCAGAACCGGAACGTATTTGTGGTCTCTCAGCTTTTGATTCTAAGTGGGTATTAAAGAAATGCTAAAGGGTACAGGCAAGAACATGTAGGCGGCTGCGTGTATTTTGTCAACCTGTATCATTGTGTTGGTACAAGGAGTTTGCTGTTCCCTGTCCTTTCTGTCACAGCTTTGGACTAACAGACCAGTTCACCTGTAATGCCTGAAGACAGATGTCAGACTATATGGAGAGAGATGTTTTTGTGTTTTGTTCTCATCTGTGCTTGGAGACGGGCTGCCATAGTTCTTATTTAAATGTCACTTGGTTTTCAACTCTGTTAGTTTTCTAAACCTTGTTCAAGTACACAAAAAAGCAGCAAGAACGTTATCTTAACATTCATCCAAAAATACTTACTGTCATAGCCCAGGGTATGAAGAAAATGGCAAGCATGCTATTTTGATTGCTTGGTAGATCACATCAGTTGCTTCTGCTAGGGTGTTTGACTAGGGCATCAACTTTATGCATGTTGATGTACTGCTTCCCCTTGAAGGGGTGGCCCCGTTTGCTCCCTTGACTTACATTGCCAGTATGTTTATGCAGCTTTTCTGTACTTTTTGTTTTCTAAAGCTGCTTTTTAAACAGAAATTGGAAATTAAACACTTTGTTTTACGGAAGAGATCTAGAATGTGAAGTGTGAAGTTAGTTCTTTTCTAAATAAGGAGGATTCAGGGCTTCTGTTTATTTCAATTGAGTATATTCATGGCTTCTAACAGAGGGACACAAGTTGTTAATAATGTGAATTGTGAAAATGTTGGCCTAAGCCAGTTATCTGAAGTTACTTTGTAATTATGTGGTAGAACAACAGAAAAGAAGACAGTTCTCTTTCCTAGTTCACTATTCTGTGAATAAAATTTTTTTTTTCATTAGTTTGTATCAGAAGACAAGAATATTCCAGGTTGCCTTAATTGTCAAAGGACTGAAGCTGCATAATTCTTTCCGTATTAGCTCTGTGAGATAGAATATGAATATTTTACTTAAGGGGGGAAGGAAAGGTCTTCAAGGATCTATTTAATTTATGTGACAAATATGTTATTTAGAATTATTTGTATTTTAGCTTTTAATTGCATCTTATTTATGCTTATTTTCAACAGCAGTTACAATATGCTTCAGAGCTGAAGAGCAAGACTGTTCAGTTCATGAATTTAAGAAACATAGGAACTCTGAATGACACCAGGTAAATTTTATTTTGAGGTATTCCTATGAATATACCATCTCTGAATTTAAAAAAAATTTCTAGACATGGTAAGACTTATCAAATTAATGTAATGCTGCTATGATGATGTAATGGAAAAGTACAGTTTTAGTGAAAAGCATTTTGGGTGAATTTGGGAAGTCACTTAGGAAATAATTTATGTACCTAAACACAGGTGTCTAGTACCATTTCACAGATGTCAGGGTACATGAAGTTTCTGCTTGAGTTGAGAGCATGTGACACAGTACCTGTCAGAGACTTCCTTCTGATGCAGCGGTTGGAGACCCAACGAAGGATTGTGCAGATGTCTGAAATGGCTCTTGCCATTAAGTACCTGAACTGCACCCTGAACCAATATGTGAATCCTGCCTAATCCTAAAGCCATCTATTCTCCATGCCCCTAGGTGTTTCTGTGATGTCCCTCACATAAGTGGCATGGAGTGTATTTCAGTAATTGGCTAGCAAGAAACTTTTAAAAAACCCTTATGTTCTGTATCATCAACTGAAACATACTGAGTCAGTGTAGTTTGAAGTAACTGTTGTATTGCCGTAGCCATTAGCAAAATCTGAAATGATTTCACGGAATTGCCTGTTGCTAGAGATGCTCACCTACATGCTCAATTAGAAGTTGACACTGATATGGGTGGAAAAACTTAGATGATTTAATTATATTTTGTTAATTAGATTGATTTAGATTTTGTTTCCACTAACTTTTTTTACTTATTTAAAGAGGGTAATAGAAGCAGTCTCACAAGTGCTGTAAGCCTTACGTAACGGCTCCAAGGGTGCTTTGAAACTCCCTGAAGAAGAAGGTAATTTTATGTTGTGTGAGCCGGCACAGGCAGGACACAGGAACAGCCACAAAACCACAGATGAAATGCAAAGAGCACATTTATTCTCGTTCCCTCAGGACCCGGGGTATCTCCACAGCAGCACCCAGGCAGAGGCACGCAAGCAGGGACACAGGCACCGCCGAGCTCAGTCCTTGATAGCCAGAAGAAAGAAAAGATCTCGAACCTGCTGCTTTTGCCTGTATATATCAGGGATTTTCTCAGGTGTAGTTTTCCATTGTGCTCTGATCTTTCCCACAGCGGGGCAGGAATCTCAAGGGTGTTTGATAAGGTGCCTCTGAGTTTCTCATAGACCTGTGTTACCTAAATGCAGGTGTTCTACCCATCAAGCACACAAAGATAAATAACAATTAGTATGATACGTGTGTGTTTTGGCACCCCAGCTGTAAGTCACTTGAGTGTGTTTACAGTCTTCCTCACCAATCTTTCCTTGTATTCCCACATACACATTAGTTCATAAGCACACTTTAAATCATGTCTAATTACTGGGCTGCATTCATAATTCCAGTTGAGAAGTCTAATAGTGTACGTAGACATGGCATGTGATGCTGATGCTTCTAAATTGCTTACAACTACAGTGAGTTTCTTAAGAGTCAGATAATGGGCTTCTAAACAGGAGATGCTTGTTTTTATTCATAGAGTTCAAAAGTAAGGAAATCTTGCACAACGGCCTTTTATGAAAATTCCTTATTTTGAAATCTATCTCTGTCTTAGTACACAGGGGTCGGTATATCTAAGGAAAAGAGTACATACTTCCCAGTTAAGAGATATCTGCTACCAAAATTTAAAAATTCCACCTCCATTTATAGGGTGGATTGTTACCTATATTACCTTAAGAAAAATAACTACTTATTTTATATGATCATTTCCTCCAAGGTCATGGTCTTGGTATGTTTTTATTATAGGGCAAATACTGTCTTCCATGTTTTTCCTCCTAATTATGGACTTGTATGTCATTTGTAGCTCTTTAGATGAGACCACTTACGAAAAACTGGCTGAAGAAACTCTGGACTCTTTAGCAGATTTCTTTGAGGACCTGACAGATAAGCCTTTTACCCCAGAAGATTACGATGTCTCTTTAGGGGTATGTTTTAAACATTCCATTACCACTGTAATTATTGCAGATTTTTCTGTTTGAGGAAGAATTTTAAATTGGTCATCTTAGTAGCAACACTTAAAATACAATGAGTTTTTATGGCTTTATTGTTAAAATATGCCTGTTTATACTAACTGGAGCAACTGTTCTGGTAAAAGGTAACACATGCTGCTGTATGATTTGAGGATTTAAAATGTTTAGTGTATAGAGAAAGACATAATACAGAATAAATGAGCTCAAGAGGAGACAGAAACTGTTTCTAAATTTGACAGTGGTCTATACATTTTTCTAAACACGTATAGACCTCTGACAGGAGCAATCACTTCCCTCCTGGTGAATACTAGGACAGGGCTGTGTGGCATAGTACGTGTACATTACGTGTAACTGTTAGAGCAGTTTCTTTTGGTTGCCTTAAATACTGAGAAGCCACATTTGTCTTGACTGGGTAGATTACATTTGTCCTGGCTTTACTGAGAACAGCCTGTGGTGGAGAGAAGCAACAAGGGGGTGCACCGTTGGAATAGGTGGTTGCAAAACTGAGACCAGAGCATACGTGGGGAAAAGGCTTCTGTCACAGGAAACATTGTGTGGCTGCCAGCCTGATAATTGGTGCCTTTAGTAGGTCAGCCACTCAAATTCTTTTACAGGAGCGACAGACTCAGATTAAAAATGTCCATTCTATTTGTATAGGGAATTAGTAGATTTGTGTACAACTTCTGAAATGATTTGTATGTTACAGCCCTCTGCATGACTTGGAGGAGAATGCTATTTCTCCTTGCGCTGCCATCTGCAACACAGGTCTTTCACTACTGCATTTTTTTGAGGTCACATAACTGCTGCTCCATCTTCATGTCTTACCACAAGGAAGTTGCTTTCTACTAGCCCTGTCAGTTAAGGTTTTATACTCAGAGATGTTGAAGCAGATGGTTAAGGTTGCACTGTTCAAAAAAAAAAAAAGAAAACAAACCAAAAAAACCCACCAAACCCCAAAACCCTGTAGCTTTGGGACTTACTTCTTTGTAACTTTGTCATCATATTGTTCATTCTTTATTTCTTATAGCTAGGATAGAAAATAACATACTGTTAGTAGGATTCTGATGTTGCCCTTAGCAAATACTGTTTGCTGCTTTAATTAAGTGTATAGTTAATGTTATAGCTAATTGCTTATCTGGTGGTAAGCAAAAAATTGTTTATCCATTACTATTCAGTATGTTTTAGTGTATCAGCAGCTATTAGCCTGATTTAAAGATATTAGGACAAACTTTAGCAAAACTAATATAATCTACCTGTTTAATATTCTTAGATACTTCATTACATGAAGGTGATGAGTCATTTTATGGCAGAATTTTGTCTCCAGCTACTGTAGGGTGGCTTGTGTTTTGACATTGACTCACTGAGATGCTCAAAAGAAATTATTTTTACATCCCTCTTAATTTTTACCAGTACTCCTCTGTTGCATGGACTGTATGATGACATCATAATATGTTGTCATTTCTGTTAAGAGCAAAAGGTTAAATTGTCCCAAATTTGCAAAATTAATCCCAAACAAGGCTAGTGCTATACCAAGCCACAAGGTGGCGAACGTGATAAAGGTCTGTTACGCCTGTGGATTGTTACAAACTTGATTTCTTCATGCAATTTATATCTTCATGTCCAGGGGGGGGAAAAAAAAAAATCTCTTGAAGAATACTCTTGTTCTCTCTTGAGAGTATTATTTCACGGACGGTGATCCTTGAGATATGTCAGAAACCAGTAACACTGAGTTATTTTGTATGGGAAGGAAGCTCTAATTTGCTGCCTGTGCTACAGAGTAAGTTTGCAGGCATTAAGTACTCATAAATGAAGGTAATTTTTTCCCTACAGTAAGTGTTTATACATAGCAAATAGCCCTAGCAGTGATAGTAACTATTGTAGTATTCTCTGACTAAAGCATGAAAAGTATGATTCTGTTAAAGAAGCTTTATCGTACTGTAGGGCATGAAGTATTTGAGAAACCATAGATTAAATATGACTAACATATTACTGGAATCATCAAACTCAATTCTGTAGAGATACCCTTTTTAATTAGCATAATTCAGATTATCTGTAGGCTAACTCTAGTCCAAGTAGTGTTGTTCCTTTAAAGTTAGGACAGAAATATTTTTGTCAGAGTTATGTATACTTTTCAAATGCACTTGTGAAAATGTCAGAGAAATGTGAATTGTCAGTAAGAAATGTGAGTAAGAAAGAGAAAAATGTTCACTAGGATAGTGTTCTAAAGCTGGCATAACTAAAACAAACCAGACCTCACCAAGTTTAAAAGTGGAACATTATGATTCAGGATCTAGGCACTTCATCAGAATTATTGGAGAAAGAATTGTGTTTATTCACTGGGAAACTGTTACTGAAGAAAAGTTGGGTTACTTTTACTGAAGAAAGTTGTGTGGCTCAGGAATCTAGCAATGACACACAAACCTTTTTGACTTTGAACCACATCAGTTCTACCTTGTTCATGAATAGAAGAAATTGTTACTGGACAATGTTTTAATCGTTGCCAAATGAACTAGCAGTCCTTTCAAGATGACAGGTCAAAGCTCAAGAGTATTATTTAAGTTAGTGCCATTGTGAATGGTGCAAACAACACTAAATAGAACTTCGACCAGAAGGTTTAAAGTCTAGATTAGACTAAAAGAAATGCAGGTTGTCCTAGGTATTAACACAAGTTTTTGATACCAAATGATCATTCTTCCAAGCTGTTCTTGTTTGGGAAATAGTTGCGAGTGTGATACATATACGTAAGTTTCTGTTTGTCTGCTGCAGATGATGTAATTCTTGTCAAGTAACAGGATACATATTTTTAATTTCTCACTTGTTTTCTCTGTGTTTTAAGAGTGGAGTTCTAACAGTTAAATTAGGTGGAGACATGGGAACATATGTAATCAATAAGCAAACACCAAACCGGCAGATTTGGCTCTCCTCACCCACTAGGTAAGTTCTGTGTAAGTTAGTTACATCATGTCTGCAGACTGGGTGGAAATGTACTTCCCCTTTCTTATAGCATATCACAGACTATGTAATATCCTTTTCATAAGTAACCCTTTTACTCAGTATATTCTCGAAACATGATATAATCTAAATGTTCAGTAATGATTGGTTATGGAGGCTTGAGGCATGGTGCGGTACACTGACGTGCCTAAATTAATCCAGGAAGTGTGTAATACAGAATTTTCAAACACTGTTCCAGTCCAAAGCCTCTGTCTACAGGAATATAGGCTACTCATAGAAAAAATAAACAGCCATGATTAAAAAAAAAGCCACACAAACCTTCTGTTGGAAAAAGAGTGACGATGATGATGTTATGATCTAAGCCTCTCTTTGTGTTTAAACAGGGTGGCTCCTTCCCCTTTCAGCTTGTGGGATTTCCTGCTTTATATGTTCATGTGCTCGCCTACCGGTTGTTTTTATCAAGTATCTGCACTTTACAGGAGCCTTGGCTAGCTGTTCCTCTGCCTTCTTTAATGCTGTGTTTTGATCCATTCCAGATTTTCTGGTTGGTTTTAGCAGGGAGTGCAGCCAGATATGTGGGAAAATGTTGTAGCTATGTCCCCAGAAAATTTGTATTCTCTGCCACTATCCTGGGGAAAGAACTGAGGGAGTTGATCAGTGTCCCTGGTGAAGGAACCAGCAAGCTGGAAAGTGTGAGCACTGCCAGTGACTATGCAGGTGTTCCTCTTCAGTGTTATTCAGAAATAATGTATTGATTGCAAAACTGGGAAAGGTTTTGCAGTAGTAGAATTCTGTTGGTAGTGTTTGTGTCAGGGACAAAAATAAGCACGATGAAACTTAAGATTTTAACAGAAACAATTTGAATAGACATAAAATTTACCTAAAGAAAATTCTACTTTTGCTTTAGAGTAATTATGTACTGGCCGATGCATGGCATACTAGGTTAGTAATTTTCTTCTACTGGCTCCTCTCCTAATCCAGAATCCTTTTATTAATTCAATAATTTTCTTAACAGGTACATGACTTGCTAAGGCACAGGACTAGCAAGCTAACAAACCTTTTTGTTTAGACAGATAAAGGGTATGTGTCAGAATTTATTAATTCCATACATTTTACAACAAGCATAATTTCCGAACCTTGATTCTGCCTAAGGTGACTGTAAAATTTTTGTGTCACTAACACAAATGTTTCACTTATTTATGAAAACTGAAAATCAGAGAATTCCTATGAAAAAATGTTAAACTTTTTTTTTATTTTTGATTGCTCCAACAGTGAATAAAAATATACAAGGAAAGAGATAAACTTGACAATTCTCTGATGGTATATTTCATTATCCAGGATGAAAAATGATTCACCTGCAAACATCAGGTTTTGTGCTTCCTTAACTGGTATTATGGTAAACAGGGTATTTCCTGAAACAGAATGCTACGTGTTTGCTTACTTCCTAACTTTGGAAAAGCAATTCCAGCAAATACTATATGATCTGGAGTGACAGACTTCTTAAGTGCAATATACTAAGAAATGAAAGAAGCAAATGTTACTGCCAGTAATCACTTGCATTGGATGTTTTATTGGGGAAATTACTACAGTGAATGTAGAATCTTGAGTCTTTAAGAACATATGCCAAGGGAGACAAAAGATATGCGAGAGAGACATTTTCTTGAATTTTTTGGACCTTTTGTTCATTATCATGCATCTATACACCAAAGTGAACTTAAGCTTGGGTTTGTAAAGCTTTACTTAGTTGACAATTTTTAAAAAGGCAGTGAGGGCATGGGTGCAACCTGCCAGCAGTGTGATTGCAGGAATTTCATGTAGCTCCTTTGACCGGAAAGACTTTTCATCCTTACACAGCATCTCTTAATAATACCTTAACATGGTATTTTAATTTTTCTCTCTTACTGTTTAAAAATGTATGCAGACTTTTCATGAGAACTAGATTTAGTCTACATTTAACTTTGTAGGCATTTTGTAGAATTCACAAGATCCTTGCTTAAATTATTAATTTAAATTTTAAAAAATCACATTTTTGCAGCATTTTGGAGATTCAGAGAACTGTGGAGGTGTTTCGTAACTGTATCACTGATATTTACTGCATAACATTTAAAAACAGTTCAAATAACTTAGGCATTTCTTTTCTTAGTCATTGTTGATTAAATGACCTGTCTTAACCTGATTTTCATGAATGGCTGCATCCCATTCTGTCATTCTCTAGATGCAGGACAGTATCAACATATGATTGCACTGCAAAGATGAAGAAGTGAGAAATGCATAGTAAAGTAACTGGAGCACATGACTGTGATTCCAGATAGTTATCATTTCACAAGACAACAAGTAAGATTTCAGTGAAAGTGCCTTTGATTTGTGTTTGCATTTGTGACTTCATAGTTTGGTTAGTGGTTAGAAAGTTCTTCATTTGAATATTGTGAGCAACTCAGGATATTCAAGGTTTAGATTAGTGTTTATGTTTGTAGAGATCCTGCAAATTGGTTTTGTGTACATATGGGATAGTCTGTTTTCTAGCAGACCCCATGCATGGATTGTACAAGTTCCAAGGCATTTTGTCCTACAAGTTCAAGGAGAAAATTGGTGGTTTGTCTCTTTATCCCAGACAACCATTTAATTCCTTTCTCTTTTCTTAGTTTCTCTAGCTGACGTTAACAGTACTGAGTACCTTTCAATCATTACCTATCCTGTTTCAGACATGGAGAATTGGGTGGATAGAAAGGTCTGGAATGGAGCCCAGGTGTTCAAGTTTCTTTCTTGATACTGGCCTGAAAAATCAAGCTAACCAACTCTACGGTAGCACAGAGAAAGACAGCATTTTAAATATAAATCTCCCACATGCCAATGTATGTGATTTCTTCTGGTAAATTCTTTTGTTGCATCTAAAAAGAAAGTGAGAATGATGATCCATGTTCTGCCATGCTTAGAATATCTGCATGTGACTGCTGCAAGAACTAATAAGTCACATTCATTCAATGTTATACAAATATCCCTTGTCATATTTATGTGCAAGAAAACTACACAGGTGAGGGAAGAAGCGGGTAAGGGAAGAAATGGGGGGAAATTGGTGCCAAAAGCAAGAAGGGAGGAAGCTTGCATCCACTGGCAGTGACTGATTTATCTTACCACCTTTCAGATGTATCTGTTGGATGGCTCAGCAGTTCCTGCCAGATCTGGCCTCTTGTGCTGCACTTCCCCAGACTACCCCACCAGTCCCTCTCCATGCTGTCTGTTCCTTTTCCTGGGCACTCTCTGGGGTACATTATAAATACAGGCTTCCAGCAGCTTCCCATGAATAATCTGTACTTACACAGTGTGTGTTTTGTTTTCTAGTGGGCCCAAGCGCTATGACTGGACTGGACAGAATTGGGTGTATTCTCATGACGGAGTATCCCTTCATGAACTACTATCAAAAGAATTTTCAACAGCATTAAAAACTAAGCTGGATTTGTCCTGCCTAATATATTCTGGGAAAGAAGATACTTGATGATATTCTACCTCATGGATGTTTAAAGACTTTAACCACAAGCCAAGCCCCTCCTTGGTTTCTGAAGCACCTGAGCTTAATTCTGTTGTTGTTTTTCTTGACATCACTATGTTGTACAACAAAAATGAAAATAACATCTTTTTCTCTAGTGCTCAGTCTTTGGGTTTCTCTGCCATTGCTTGCATCTGTGTCCATTTAGTACGGGTGGTTGAGGTTACCCTTCCTGTTACTGAATTTCTTTCTTACTGCAGAAGTCAGTCATGAGTTCTCACTGTCTGCAGTCTTCTTTGGATGCAAGGACTGACCAACCTGCGTGACTTCTGACGAGCACACAAATGCTAAACTCTTTTTGGTGAGACTCAGCCAAAACAAGAAATGCCTGTGATTCACACTGACATAAGTTGTGGTACTCTGAATGCATAACATTAAAAATGTGGCTATTAAGGTGAATAACACATCACAGTCAAATCGAGCATCTTCTAAACTAAATGACTGTGACAGGTAGGAACTTTTAAATTTTGTGTAATGCATGTAGTAGGAGTTTTTCTCTTAGTATTGCAGAGCTTGCTCTTTTCTCCAAATTCTAAATTCTAGTTTCTTTCACAGTAGGATTTTTTTTGAGCTAAACTTTAAATTACTTAAAGGTCTTTATGGCTGTAAGCATCATATGGAACTGGAAAGGCTGGTATGTGATGTTTCAGCTGTGCAGCAATACCTCTGCAAGTGCTTTATTCTGTTACTGTGGATTTCTCTGGTCCTTTTTGTCCTTCAAAGATTACAAATACCTAATTTATTGACTTTTTTTAGTTGAGCAAAAGTAATGTCCTCCCATGGTAACAAAATTTGCACTAATTTTGTTCTGCAGCATTTCTTAAGTAAGTGGGCTTAGATTCTCTCTCTTCACCATGATGCAGCAAGGCTTCACTTATTACCCCGCTGATGCAGAAACTTTTGCCTTTTTGCTTCTTAGAACTGAGTATGGTACTTAACACTGATGAAGCTGTCTCTTTCAGGCTGTTAAAAAATGAGAATGAAATAAATTATATACTCTGGATCTTAAACCAAAAAGCTTTAAAAGAAATCCTGAACTGCAAGAAGACTTCGACACTTGCACTGTTGTATTATTACCACTGTTTCTCTTCTCAGTTCCTATGATGCTTGTGGTTTGTTTGGCATGATTCTCTGGCTACCTAGAGTGATTACATATGTGATTAATTTTGTCATGGAAAAAAAACAGCTATATAGTATTGTTGCCCAGTATTTGCATTTAAAGTGTAAGTGTTGTTACCTGCTATTTCCCACCATTAAACAGAGGGTAACATTTCACTGGAAGCAGCTCTTGGTTAATTGTGCCCCCTGTTTGCATGTTTTTCAATCAAAATAAAAAATGTGACAGTTACCTGAAATTTCAACTCTACTGGATAAGGTAAATACAGTGATTACCAACTCATGAGTACAAGAGTAAAAGATGCTTTTAAAAAAAAAAAAAAAAAAAAAAAATAAATAAAAGGGAGAGTTAAAAATAGAATGTCTTTTTACTGCTATCAATTTAGAACACTGAAAATAATTTACAGCATACGGAAAACAACAGTATTTGGCTCAGTCTCCTAGTAGTTCAAATAGCTATTTAAATGCATTTGTATAAATGTTAATGATTTTATATTTGAATGAAGGATACTTCCTCCTGGTTTTTCTTTTGCCTGATCACATATAGCTTGTGTCATTATTTTTCTGACTGACTTTTCCAGAAATTATTTTCTGAAGTAATTTGTGTGCAACATACTCTTTGAGTCTGATTCATATTTGGAGCTTCATTCTCCATTCTCTTACGCCTTGTGCAAATGTTTACACCAAAATAAAGTTGCATGTAGAATTCTTCTATTATGTGAAGGTGTGATTTCAGGCTGAGTTGATAAAGCTAAAAACTGAAGACATGCATATTGTTTTGAATTCTTTGTGTTTCTCAAAACACTGGAAAGATTCTGTTCAAAATTTGGCCAATTGGAGTGGATTTTATAAGAGCACTTCAGCTTTTACATTTGACATGCCTTGCCCTTCATCTATAATGCTACTGCTATTTATGCAAACAATTTCCTGGTTTTAGGTATCCAAGTAACAAATGGATTTTATCTAACTGGTGAAGATAAATAGTCTCAGCAAGTCAGAATGAGTTTTGTCTCAGTGTACAAAATGAATCATAGGACGTGACTCATTTTTTTGCTCTAACACTTGCATCAAGATGTAAATAAGGTCAAGGACTCTGTCAGCCATCCTGCTCGTACAGTGGAGGCATGGGACAAGTTCTGATCCTGATGTCAGACTTTGCATATTGCCCCGAGACAAATAACTCTTCTGTACTATTTTTACTTCCATAACTTACTTGAATAAGCAGATTGTTCTATGGTTACACACCTGACAGCACGTCACTTGTTTTCTTGCTTCACCTCTCACAAAAGAAACAGCTGAAGGAAAATCCTTGGGTACACGCTACAGACAGTTGGCAAGAACCATTGCATTACTGGCAGCATTTTTCTGGCAAGACGGTTGCTCCGCCTTCAGTGAAGGAAAATGTACAGATTACTTGTGAAAGACAAGTATTGGCATTTGTAGCTGCATTGGATGATCAGACTCGGCAGAGTTATTGGGATGTTTTGGGGAGTATGTCAGAGTTTTCACCATTAGCTAATAACTCTTTCTGATTGTATTTTTCTGCTTCTGGCCTACAGTCCTAGCATATCTAACCTTGCTAAAATTCACTGTTTGCTGCGTGTCAGTGAGTTCTTTGGAAGTCTCGATTGATTGATGTAGTCAAGTCAAAGTTAGAGCAACTGTCTGCAGTCTGTATTGGCCACAAAATACTACCTTTGCTTGACAGGAGTTACATGCCTAAATGCTTGTCTGGTGCTTGCTGGTGCACCTTTCCACTTGTGATAATTCTTACGAAATGCTACCTCTTTCCTGCAAGACTGTTCCTTATGATAAAATCATCCTATCTTGTTTCCTTAAAATTCCCAAAGTCTTTTAGCAGCTTCAATAAATGGGATAAAGACCTGCCCTGAAGACGTGATAGCCAAATCAGGGAAGGCGGATTCACAGGGAGGATTGTGTTTGATTGCTTTTGGCTTCTGGTTAATGGTTGAACTCTGAGATTGTGCTAACCAGCTCTGGAATGTGTGGGAGTCCTGGGAAGAAGATGGAAGCATGCCAAAATACCTGGAAGAGCATTCAAAACAGAAAAGGAAGCACGGGAGGGGCAGAAGCAAAGGCTATCAGGAAGAGATTAACTTCGCCCAATGGCTGATGTGGTTGGCAGGGCAAAGAAAGACTAGGGGCAAGCTGCACCCTGTTGTGGCCCCTTAGGGGATGGTATTTTAACTTTACTGCACATCACTACTTATAGTTGCAACCAATCAATCATGTTCCAGTTCCTTTTGTTGAGATTTTTTTTTTTTTTTTAAACTCCTGTTTAAAGGTAAGAAAAAGTTGTTTGGAGTCATGTCCCCCTGTGTCCCGAATTGTCTCTTGCAGAAATTGTACTGCTGGTAGAACAAAGACAAGATTCATGACTTCTACCAAAGGAGATAGCCAGCAGAGGCTGTTTGGCTGAGGGTAGAATAAACAGAGCTATGAACAAAAAATGTTTTTTAAACAGTTATTAATTACAAGCTTATTTTGGAGTTCAGGTTAAGAAAGACAGGCTTAGATAAGGAAACAACAGATGTTTAAAACAAGCCATATAATGTTGCTGCCCTCTCCAATTTGCTGAATTGTTCTAAAAAATAACATTGTCATGGTAATTGCACTAAGTGATCAGTATTTCAATGAGTAATTTTGTAAGCATTGTTAGTTTCCAGATGTAGGCTTTTCTGCTAGCCATCAATGTTCTCTACTGCTCTACAGAAAAAAATTTGGAATACATTAAATATTTTGGTAGTATTGCTCCTCTTCACAGTGTGAGAACCACTGACCAAGCATCATACAGTCGCTGTTACAAAAGTAGCTTCAGAAAAAGGAAAATATTTAGAGAAATAGCAGATGAAGTTTTTAAACATTCGTTAAGGAAACAGACACCCAGCACAGTGTAAACCAAATAATCTGACACATACCTGGAAGTGAGACTAACTTTCTACTCCTCATGCCTTGATTCTGCCTGAATGCAATATTGCATTACATGCTGATTGCTGAGTCTGTCTATAGCTGACAAGAAAACATCAAGTTACTGAATATCTGAATTAGGCTTGTTTTTGGTTTGGTTTGGTTTGGTTTTTTCATCCCCCTGGTTTTGCTGTTTGGGACTTTTAGACTGCACTGGTCACTTCAAGACTATTGTGTGCACATGTGTGTTAATTATTAACTATCACTACGAGCAGGCTTTTTCAATACAAGGTCTGAATGTGGTTTCGTGTTTGCTGTCAATGAAAATGGGCTCTTTTGGTGCCTCCTTCCAAAGTCCAGCACCTTCATGAAGAACACTGTTTGCTTTCTTTATCTCAATTTCTGTGCGAGGCATAGTACACAAACATCCTCTGCACCTAGCAGGGAGGAAAGCAGTCTGAATTAGGAATGCTGTGGGAATCTACAAGATTTAGCATCTGTTGAAAAGTCCCTTGCCTTTTCTCACAGGCAGCTAAAAACCAGAAAACTTGCAAGATTTTGTTTTGCAAGCCTGGTGCTGGGGGAGTACATTGATTTTAGAGGGGCTTGCATAGGAATAAGGCCCAAGAGAGCAGATATGGAATTCCCGGTGACATTTAGTGCCCTGCAATGCAGAAGAAATACGACTCTGAAGAATGCTGTTGGGGCTGTTTGGCCTTGCCTTTCCCGTTTCGGCTGCAGGACACCCCTGATGCCGAAAAGCTGATATCTGTGGAATGCCAGCCTGAAGTACAGTTCTGTTTTAGCAAGTTAAGGTTTCGGGAACAGCGAAATTGGCGCGACTCGCAGAGTGATGTTGCGTGTTCTGGCCTGGAAATGGAGCTGCTCTGCCTGCTGCTGATCAGAAGGGTGTTTCTGCTGAGTGGCGGCGTGAACACCCCGCTCCTCAGAGCTGCCAGAGCACACCAGTAGAGCCGAGGGAAGTTGGCCGTAGCTCTTCTGTGACAGAAGGCAGAAAAAAAAAAAGCAGATTCAGAAGCGTACGTGGAGCTCTGCAGCGTGGTTTTGAAAGCTGTTTGAGAGGTTGGAAAAGTTGAGACGAGCGATGATCCCGCGTTCGTAACAAAACGTGGATGTCAGCGGAAAAAAACAAAAACAAAACAAAACAAAACAAAACACACCAAAAAAAAAAAACCCAAAAAAAAACAAAAAACAAAACAACCACGCAGAAACGGGCGGCTGGGTGACAGCACGAGCCGAGAGCGACAGCGGCGACCGGGCTCCGCCGCGGGTGGAGGGGTGGGGGGGTGCGCAGGGCCGGGGCCCCCCCTCCCGGGAGTCGGGACGTGCTGAGAAAAGCCGGGGGGCGAGGCGGCCAGGGCGGCCCCGCCGCGGTGACTCAGCGACGCGGAGGACACGGCTACAACCGGTATTTCCTGTTCCCGCGCCCGCCGCCGCGTGTGTGAGCGCGGGGCCGAGGCTCCCCCGAGACGCTGGGGGGAAGGCGGGGGGGGGGGTGTGGGGGGGTGTGGGGGCTGGTGGGGAGGGGGCGGCGGCCGCAGGTGAAGCCGCGCCCGCGGAGGGGGCCCGCCCGCCCTCCCCCGGCCGCCGCCCCACCTGGGGGCGAGGCCGGCACCTGCGGCGGGAGCCCGCCCCGGCGCGGCCGCGCCGCCCCCGCCCGCGCCCCGCAGGAAATCGCCCGACTCGGCGGGAGCGGCCGCAGCGGATCCGGACTCCTCGGACTCGGCGCCGCCGTCGATCAGCCCGCTGCAGGGCTGAGGGCAGGGCGCGCAGTCCCGGCGCCGGGCCGCCTCCCGGGACCTCCGCGGCCGGACGCCGCCGCCCCGCGACTGTCTCCGCGAGCAGGCGAGTATCCCCCGCGGGGGCCGGGCTGGGCTGCCCCCCCCCGGCTCCGCGCCTCCCCGCCGCTCCGCTCTCCTCGGGCAGGTGCAGCGCTCCCCCGCCCGCCGCCGCCGCCGCCTCAGCTCGCCGCTGCGGGGAAGGGCTGCGCGACTTCTCCCTCTCCCTCCTTTGTGTGCTTTGGGTTTTTCTCCCCTCCCCCTCCCCCTAATTCCTCGGGCGCACTTTGCCGCCTTTGCCCGTGGGAGCCGAGGCGGGGGCTTCCCTCCCGCCGCCGGGGACCCCCCCGGCCCGGCCCGGCCCCGCTCCCGCCGCCGCGCACCTGGGGCGCGGGAACCGCCGGGCTCGGGTCAGGGATCGGCTCGTCCCTAACGGGATTAAGCGGCTCTCGGTGTCTTTTTCCGTGCTGAGTACTTTCCGGGAGAGTGCGATACTGCGTGGGAAGTGGGAGAGATGTCACCGATGAATCAGGGTTTTTGTTTACCCGGGCTTTTTTCCCCTCAGGAGGGGCGGGTCCCCCGACGGGCGCACACCCCCGACGGCGGGGGCTCGGGCTGCCTTTGTTACACACAGAATTCCTGAAATCTTTATGTTGGCACATCCCGAGTGGATTCCAGCCGTGCCTTGGGCTTTGGCTAACTGGGTCAGGGGAAGTTTCAAGTTAACAGGGAACTGTAAAACAAAGGAACAGGCAGTTCCAGGAGCATAATGCTTGATTGCTCTGCTGAAGTGCCTTGGCATCGGCCTTGTTTTCGGTGCTGGAGCCCCAGGTACATTAGATTTGCATCGTGGAGTGTCCAGGTTGATCTACCAGGGCATGTGTTCGCTTTATTAGACAACTCTGCGCTTACTTTCCCCCTGCTTGAAACCTGTTTCCTCTGCGTGTTTTTCCAGGATGAAAAAGTACATGCTGTCTGAACATACTT